GAGAGAGAGAGAGAGAGAGAGAGAGAGAGAGGGAGACAGGGAGACAGGGAGACAGGGAGACAGGGAGACAGGGAGAGAGAACACTTTGTGAGGGTGTTAGTGATCAAATGAGGATCAGTCTAAAATCACTCTTGGTGTATCCTGTGTTACTTGCAATAAGACTTGCGAAAGACAATGTAGTATTTGTTCATAAGTTGTTATTATACTTTTTTATTAGTTTTGTCAAGACAGGGTTTCTCTGGATTGATTTGGAGCCTGTCCTGGAACTCTCTCTGTAGATCAGGCTGGCCTCAAACTCACAGAGATCTGCCTGCCTCTGCCCATCAAGTGCTTGGATTAAAGGCATGCACCACCACCTCCCAGCTCTATTATTATTTTTTAATACACTTGCAGCTCCAGGGGAGGGTTTTGCAGAAAAGTATCTTCACTGTGAGAATGGATGATTCAGTGAGAATTTGTAATTAAAAATTTATTTTTCTACCATGTGTAAAATGTGTATTTTTCTAGCATTTATAATCCATTCCATATTTCTTACTTTTCTTTACATAGTTTATGATTTATTGTGCAAAAGCACATACTGTCTGTCTAACAAAATTTGCTACTTTAATTAGCAATCCATTTCTATACCTTGTTCACAATTGATGTCAAAGGTCATATGTTCCTGTTGAACATACTTTTCCCCCCAATACATATTTGGTGCCTCAGGGCTACATTTTGACTCTTTTACTATTGCTCAAGTTCATTATTTTGTCAACTTTAAGCCTAGAAATCAAATGCCCTATTATCCTGCAGGCTTTACATGCAATATTTAAACAATGAATAATAACTTTCAATTCAAGATTTCAGACACTCTGAGGCTTTGGGGGTTGATACAAATGGGAAAGGCAACGTGTTAACTAATGATGACTCTTTTATAGACAAATATGCAAAATGTAGCCCTTTGTTTGCTTAAATGAAGATTTAAATAATTAAAATTTGCCTATAATTGTGATGCTTTAGTTCCAATCCTGCACACTTAGTTTCTGTAATTAGCCTTGTGTGAATGAAAGCTGCTCCACATGATCAATATGTCTATTAAAACAAAGTAACTGTAATATATCTGAAAACCATTTTCAGTAGTTTTGTAAACAAGGTCCACCAATTCAAATCATATTTTCTACAGGATCAATATGAACTCTAGCAGTGGCACTGTCTGCAAATAAAGCAAAATGTTTTGCATTTAGAACTAAGAAAATTTATCTCAACTGACATCTAACCACAATAAAATAGCAGTTGAGATTAAGTCAAAGTGAAATGTGAGAAGCACCTTCTGCATATGTCCATCAGAAAGAAAATGTAATCAAAGATATATATCTCTTGTTGTTTCTTCTAGAACATCTGATGCATGTCTGAAGATTTAGGAAATGCATTTATAACGGTGTCAGAGAACAAGCATTCACAGATGATGCCAGGACCAAATGGTTTAGTTAACACATTTAAGTAACAAGTTAAATGGGGACGGACAGACTCCTTTTATTTGTTTTTTGTACCTTTTTATTTGTTTATTTGTTTTTATTTGTTTTGCAGTACTGTCCATGAAATGAGCATCCACTGATTATGATCTTTTCCTCAGCGGTAAAAAAAAAAGAAAAGAAGCAATAAAAAGTCTTTTGATGGGGGGGGTGTCCTTCTGAATGTTACGAATATGTTTCTCTTATTGGTTGATGAATAAAGCTTTTTTGGCCAATGGATAGACAGGATGTAGCCAGACAGGAAGTATAGGTGGGGCTACCAGACTAGGAGAATTCTGGGAGAGAAACGGAGATACCATGCAGCTGCTGAGAAAGCAAGAGGCTTGGGCATTCTCCAGTAAGCCAAAACCATGTGGATATATATAGATGAATAGAAATGGACTAATAATTAAGACAGAGATAGCTAATAAGATGACTGAGCCCTTGGCCAAACAGTTTATAAATAAAATAAACCTCTATGGGTTTATTTGGGACTACATGGCTGTGCTACCAGGTAAGACAGAAATTTCTGTTTATAGTCTTTAAAATCCAAAGCAAAAAATTAAAAATCTTTGATGTGTACAAATATGTGGTGAGTAATATGAACTATAAAGCCAAGAATTGGCATCAGCCAAGTGTTTGGTGCTTACCTTTAGTCTCATTCATAGGCAGAGGCAGGTTGGATCTCTGCAAGATCCAGGCCAATCAGAATACACAGTGACATCCTGTAAAAATTTTTTAACACTGAATTATATTTTCTGACATTTAATGTCAATAAAATGTATATCAAGTAATATTAAGGTATGCCACAAAATTATATGCTCAATTATAAGCAAATTTCTTCATTTTAGGAAATACTAAGATATGTCTTTATGTATGTATGTATATAAAACCAGCAGTAATATATGCCTAATTCTTTTCATTTAAATTAAGTTTCTTTTCATGGTTGCATAAAACACAAGAATATGTATTTTAATGAAGTGCATTGTAATGTCTTTATACATGTATGTAGAATACACACACACACACACACACACACACACACATATATGTATATGAGCATATTATGTATACCCACATTTATTTCTCTATTAGAAAGCATGGTATTATAGAGCTTTTAGACTCAAATACTGAATGTTTAAAATATATCTGATACAAATTTGATACAAATTACTAACTAATGGGGGAAGTCTTTCTGTGTATATGTTTGTCTTACTTGTTGATAAATAAAGCACTGTTGGCCAATAGGGAAGCAAGATAAGTGGGTCTATGAGTCGAGGAGGAATCTCAGAAATATAGTAAAGAAAGGAGTCACCATGTGATCCCATGAAGAGAGGATGCTTGCCACTGGTATCCTCAATAAAATAAGTCTTTATAAAATATATGGATTAATGATTATGGTTGATACATAAGACAGAGACAGCAAATACAAAATCCTAGTCATTGGCCAGCAGCCATATATGGGGTCTTTCTATAGCAGCTATAATAATAATTAATCATAACTAAACATAAATTCATCAGTCAATTCTCAAAGACTAAAAGAGTCAGTAAGCTGAGGCACAATTTACTTATCTAAGAAATAAAAGGTTTCCAAACAGATTTCTATATTTCATAAAAAATATTCAATTTGTAAGGCAAAGAAATTTAATTTTGGAAAAAAATGAATAAAAATCATCATAAAAAGTAGCCATAACTGGAAGTGTTTAAAACTCATCAAAAGCTGTAATAGACATGTTTAATTATTCTAGTACAAAGCCTCTATCCAAGGGCCAATATACAGATTCTGAGTGACATAGCTTCATAACCAACAGATCTGAGTGAACATACTGATATTCCATTTAAGTCCAAAATGTTAGTATACTATCTGAGCCTGATTATTAGAACTAAATGGTTTGGAATTCTGTATTATTTGAGTAAAAAATATTTACATATCACTAATTAGGTTGGTTGAAACAAATGTAAATACTAAGGTTACCAGGTCAACTGTCCCTTATAGCAATATGTGAACCATGGATATTCTTCAGTTCTCAGCTGACCTAGGATAAAGGACTTTGAATCCTGAGTTACTTAAACACTTGTCTCCTAATGGATCTAACTGTCCACTTAGTAACTAAAAGGACCTTTGTAATCAAATATATAACATTATGAGCTCTATTGAACTTATTCAGCAAGCTAGTTTAATAATTTTAAATAAAAACTATAAGAATTTTCAACACTGCTAACTTTTCCCTATAAGAAAATTGCTTGTGGAGATTCTTCCCACCCAAGTGAACCAAAACTGAGAACTAATCACATACATAACATAATGTTCATGTCAACACTGCAAACAGACAGCAAATTGGCAAATTTCCTGAACCAATATTTTTACAGTCAAAGATATATACCTTAGTAGTCTGGTCTCCAAGGTAGTGCAACATAGAGAGAATTTGTTGTGATTATATTGCATATCCATCTTTAATGAATCAAAGGGATACAAGGAAAAATATTCAACATAAATGAAGATGATGCATATTTATAATTCTGCATAGAAAGATAGAGAGAAATTAGTACATTAACTCAAGAAAATTCAAAAAATGAACTCAATATTTTATCTGCACACTATTTAAGGTTTACATTCAAGAACTTTCCTTGCTGTGTTACTTATAGAAGACAATACTTGAATCAATTTGTACATTCATCAGATCATGAATATATGATTAAAGCATAGTAAATTCATGTAATGTTATAAAACCAAAGAAATTTAAAAATCATAATGTAGATAATGAAACATTTCACAAATATTATAAATATAAATGAACCAGACTTTAGACTGTAGTTTATCTGCTACAGTATTCAATCACATAGAGCATGAAATAGAAAGGGTAATATATTACTTAAAGAACAAAAACAGCAGTCACGCATAAATAGATCATGGCGTCTGTGTAGATGTAGGCAAGAGAATATAAAAGCTCTTGCCACTTCATTCTCATGCTTTAATCTGTGTTATACATATGCCACATTTAAATTAAATAAAAAATCATACACCATCAATCAAATTCAAAGATGTTATTGTTATATATTATCTACAAAGAAAAATCCTACTTTGCTGATATTCTTCGATATTATTTTAATAATGCTTTATTTTATAAATATATTTTGCAAAATGCATGTTTATCCTTTGGTCAACACATTGATAGTGCAAGTGTTCTGATGTAATATGGTTGTCTTGATACATCTTAGAAAATGGATCATTTTAGGAAAAAAATTAGGTCATTAACATTGGCAGTGAAATGAATATCTAAGATTCCTGTATTTCGTTTTTGAGATTACACAAAGTTTAATTTTAAAAAGGAACCATTATTAGGAAATAACATTCAAGCTTAGAAGGAGACTAATAAGAAGTTTTACAGATAATGTTTTTCTCAGTAATTGCCACAGAAGTGGGATTGCCATGTTCAATTTTCCTTTCTGTTATCTCTTTCATGAGAAAGATGTAGACGGAAACATCGTTCCACTCTATTAAAAAGTATAATTGGACTGGATTGATCCTTCAGTTTGATTTGCTAATTGTACCCGATCCTTTCTTATTGTCGTGTCATATTTTTTTTTCTGTACAAACTAGAGGAAAAGAGGGCTTTGTGAAAATTGCCTTTCACAGTCTATTAGTCTTCATTGCTGCAATCTGATGACAGGAATATCTAGGAGTAAGGACATTTTGTAGGTATGTTGAAGATTGCAAAAACAATGATTTAACTAGAATCTATCCAAATACAAAGTGAACACTGGTTCTTTTTATGTGCTTTTCTATGAAGTGGAACTTCAGTCACTAGGTACATTAAAATATTATGGCTGCTTTCACTTTGGTACACAGTTATCAATGCATTCTCTATATGCCAACATTGTATGTATCTGAATATTAAAAAAAAAAAAAAACTTTGTGTATATGCCTAAGAGTGGAATTGCTGGATCTTGTGGTAGACTGATTCCCATTTTTTGAGGAGTCCCCATACTGATTTCCAAAGTGGCTGTACAAGTTGGCACTCCCAGCAGCAGTGGAGAAGTGTTCCCCTTTCTCCACATCCTCTCCAACATGAACTGTCATTGGTGTTTTTGATTTTGGCAATTCTGACAGGAGTAAGATGGTATCTCAGAGTTGTTTTGATTTGCATTTCCCTGATGGCTAAGGATGTTGAACACTTTCTTATGTATCTTTTAGCCATTTTAGATTCTTCTATTGAGAACTGTCTATTTAGTTCTGTACCCCACTTATTAATTGGTGTGTTTGGTGTTTTGGAGACTAGCTTCTTGAGTTCTTTATATATTTTGGAGATCAGCCCTCTGTCAGATGTGGGGTTGGTGAATATCTTTTCCCAGTCTGTGGGCTGCCATTTTGTCTTGCTGACTGTCTCCTTTGCCTTACAAAAGCTTCTTAGTTTCAAGAGGTCCAATTTATCAATTGTTGACCTCAGTGTCTGTGCTACTTGTGTAATGTTCAAGAAGGTCTCCTGTATCGATCAATTCAAGGGTATTTTCCACTTTGTCTTCTAATAGGTTCAATGTAGCTGGATTTAAGTTGAGATCTTTGATTCATTTTCACTTAAGTTTAGTGCAAGGCTTGGGTCTAGACAAACATGGTATGTACTTACTCATATGCGGATTTTAGATATAGAGTAAGGATTACCAGCCTACAATCCCCACTGCAAAATGAGGTAATAAACATGGAGGTCCCTAAGAGAGACATACATGGTCCCCTGGAGAAGGGGAGAGGTTTAAGATTTGCTGAGAAAATTAGGAGCATGGGAAGAGGGGGGAGGGAGCTAGGAGAATGAGAAGGGGACAGGAAGAGCAATGCCGAGGACATGATGGAGCAGAAAATATGAGTCAGGGGAAGAATACATGATAACAAGAATGGAGATATCATAATAGAGGGAGACATTTTTAGTTTACAGAGAAATCAGGCATTAGAGAAATGTCTGGAGATCTACAAAGATGACACCAGCTAACTATCTCAGCAATGGAGGAGAGGCTACCTTAAATGCCCTCTCCTGATTATGAGATTGATGACTGACTTATATGCCTTCATCCAGTAGCTGGTAGAAGTAGAAGCAGACATCCATAACTAATCACTGATCTGAACTGGAACCCAGATGCAGAGAAGGACCAGTGAAAAGCACAGAGGTCTAGACCACGCCAGTGAAACACACAGAAACAGATGACCTGAACATCTGGGAACTCTTGCTCCCCAGTCTCATAGCTGGAATACCAGCATGGGACTGATCCAGACCCAAGGAACATGGGTTTCCCTGAGGAAACATCAGAAATCTATGGAACCTCCTGTAGAAGCCCAGTATTTATGCCTAGCATAGGTGTGGACTTTGGGAGCCCAGTCCATATAGAGGAATACTTCCTGAGCCAAGGCATACGGGTATGGGCCTAGGCCCTACCCCAAATGAAACGAAAGTCTCTGATGACACCCTGTGGAAGCCTCACCATCCAGGGGGAGCAGAAAAGATATGTGATAGATAAGGTTTTAGTTGGGAGGGGAGGGGAGGGGAGGACAGGTGGGAGAAGGCAAATGGGATTGTCATGTAAAACAACCCTGTTTCTAATTCAAATGAAAAAAGTTAGAAAAAATATCTTTTGTGTGCTGTAGTTCAATCCAAATTTTAATGGTACATTCTTCCTTAAGCATTCACTTTCAAGAATGAATATTGAGTATAGCAACTCTTACTGTATACTAGACATTTATGTAGTCAGTTATATGTTTTAGATATCAAATATGTCCACAAAGGCTCCCTTCCACTTAATGAATGCAGTCATTAGGAAGTCACTTAATCATACAGCTTTTGACCTAATCAATGTGTTAGTACTTTGCTGGATTCATGATATGAAATGACATTTTTTCGAAATGAAACCTAGTTGAAGTAGTTGAAGAAAGTAGGTCATTGAGAATGCATCATGGAAAGAGATGTCCTGCCTTGATCAATTTCTATTCTTTGCTCCCTCTCCACCTGAGGTGAAGAACTACCTCTTACACATGTACTCAGTGTGATGATGCTCTGTTTTGTCTGATGCTCTAAGTAAAGGAGCTAGCCAAATATTAAGGCTACACTCAGAAACCATAAACCAAAGTACTAATAATTACTATATTAAAATTACTTTTCTTAAGTATTTTCCATAGCAGCATAAAATAAATACTTAGTCATACAACTAAGCTTTATTCATGATAGCTAAAGTTAACCAAGTAATATTGGACTTTAGAAAACTCCTACTTTAAAGTTACAGATACTCAGTGATCAAAGAAATTACTATCTCACCATGTCTAACATGTTGTGCATTCATGGGCATAATTTATACAGTATTTCCCCATGAGGAATATTTCAATATCCCTTGTGGGGGACTGAAACTCTCTTTTATACGGGTCCATACATACACAAAGTTTATATTCACAAAATTTATGTAAGTATTCAAAATTGATTTATAATTAGCTACATTAAGGGACTAACAATAATTAATAACAAAATGGCATGATTATAACAATACACGATCATTAAATTTATTTTATTTTACTACATCAACCACTCTTAAAAGATACAACAATATTAAATGGCAAGATAACTAGAGAAAGCTGAATAACAAGCAATGTGATAGAGCCCCTCCATACAGCAAAAGTCACCTAAGAACAATTAAATTGCTTCTAAGGCTGGATTACATTTGGAGGAAAATGGAGGAGGATAGCCTGGTTCCAGGCTTGGAACTTATAATGTCACAGAAAAAATGTACAAATTATTTATGCTTATCATTGTCCACATAATACCTTAAAATTACTACTAAACCTGGGATGGCAGGGCATAGGATACACATATGCAAAGCAGATAAGTGTGAATCCCTTCTTTTTCCTGCAGTGCAAGATACTGGGATGCCTTGTCATAAAATATCTTAGTTCAGAACTTCATCCATAGTTCACTTTTGTCACCTAAGATGCATTTTTTCTTTTTGTAGCAGTTTCTGAGGTAAAGTACTCAAGAAAACCAGAGAGAGAGAGAGAGAGAGAGAGAGAGACAGAGAGAGACAGACAGACAGAGACACAGACAGAGACACAGACACAGAGACACAGAGACACAGACAGACACAGAGGGAGAGACAGAGAGACAGAGAGACAGACACATAGAGAGACAGAGTTACAAAATTATGAAAATAATGGCTTTATGAACTTGGGGTACATGTCAGAGAATACATTATTCAAAAATGATTGTGTGAATATTAACATGACCAGAACATGATGACTTCTCAGTCTGTGAATTTTGATGTCTCACTACTCCTGATTTGACACTGTAGTGCATAGAAGACTCTTTGAGCATTATTGATGTTTAGTCCACATTCCCAAGTAAAAATGCTAGAATCTGATATGAGAAGAAGAAGGCAGCAGTAGCACCATAAGAGGACAAGATTGCTATTGAGTGAGGAGTAGGCAATCCTTCTTTAACCCTAGACATCTTATATTGGGACTATGTGC